AAAAGAATTATCTTTATTTCTCACTTCCCATTTACACCTCCATCCACTGCAATCTTACTTCTGGCGCAACCAACTGAATGATTATATTCTTGTCAAGTTCTGGTAGCAAATCCAACTTTGGTGTCCTTAGCTTGTTTGCCCCCAGACGCTCAGCAATGCCCATTATCCTATCTTCTTCTGGCTTCCATAGCTGCATCTCTAATGTTTTTCATTTACCTGCCACAGTTCAGTTTTCCCGGAATTTAGTAAGTGCTCAATAATTATTTTTTGAATAAGTGAAAAAAAGGAATATAATTTCTGTGTCCAAGAGAAGGCAATAAAAATAGGCACTTTGTATTGTTCTCATCAAACAATAAAAAAGTTACAATCACATATTGTTGATAAAAATATTGTTTGTACTATAATTTCTTTCTCTCAGCTGTTTATTCTTACCATTCTTAAAGTGCAATGCAAAGATATTACCCCATTCCACCAGACTTAATTATGTTTATATCTTTAACCAGTATGCTGATGTGTAGTTCTATATACTTCTATTTACAATACTTCAACAAAATAGTTTACAATTTTTCACTCCAATAATTTGGAAGTACTCCAAATATGTACTACTCATTGTATTGCTCTCAGATGATGCTTGGCAGATAAACATGCTCAATAACTGTTGGACTGAATTTCAAAGATGAATTTCTTTTAAAACATGAGTTACATTTTAATATGCTTACATATAAATCATTTATATAAATCATTAGTTCCATTATTTATATGCTTAATCAATTGAAAGCAACAGTCAATTTTTATTCTTTTTGATAGATTCAATACAATGAAAAATCTCAAAGTTGTAAACCTGGCAACTGTGAATTTTACAGTTTTTTTCATAAAATATTCATCTGATACTTTATTTAGTTAAGTTACCATGTTCAATACACTAATTTATATGAATTACATTAGAAGTGCTTGTGTGAATTGTATTTAAATTTTTTGTTTTGAACACAAAACTTTTATTCTTCTGAACTTCACTAACTCTTTAAAGTACATTATGTTTTACTTCCCTTAGGAATCGAATAATACTAGAAATAAAAAGAGGCTTTAAAAGGAAACTTTTCAAAACTTTTCAAGACTTGATACTAGTGACTATGGTTGGGAACAATAGCCACACTTACAGATTGGCCTGGTCATAAAAGAGATTAAGCCAGGCCCTTAAATTTGGCATAAAAACATTTTATTATCTTTTGTGTGATTCCTTATCTAATCCTTTTTTTCTTATGGCATTTACAGAAGGCAAATTTCATTTTACAAAGTAAGTGGAACTGTTATATATTACTTCTTGAATCTCTCACACCTACTAATTCAGATAATAATTGATTTCTCTAAAGTAATAAAAAGAAAATCTCCACACTTAGATTATCACACACATCCTGTTGAAGATCACAATGCATTCCTAATAGAAGTCCCTGGTTTTTGGTGCTTACGTTTAAGGGAAAAGAGAAGCTCTGGATTCTGGGTGCTCTTGGCGCACTGGGCAAGCAAAGTAACAGTGGATGATTAGATATATGTGGGACTCTTGAAACATAGGTTGGGATGAGAGGCAAAATGTTGAGGGGAAATCAATTATATGAATATGAGGTCCTAAAACATATGTCTAAATCCCTTTACTAAACCTTAACATTAATTTCCTTGATAAGGTCCCTTCTCTTGGAACTAAAGCAGAATTGACTTAAGTCCATGAATAGTAGGGTTCAGAATCTTTGGCTGAGAAAAATTACCAGTGAAATCTGATGGTGTAGGGGCATAATGTATGCCAAACATTTAAAGGCCTGAAACTGACAGCTGGAGCTGACTAGGACTACGCACTGGCTTTGGAGATACAGGAGCAAGTGAAAGCTCTGCCTCTCATGAGCTCTGAGACCATGTCCAAGATGCCTATCCTTCCTGAATCTTGGTTTCTTCAGCTTGTGATTAGATATACTAGCATTGCAAAATAAGTCACATTGCACATCTGGAGATTCCTACTATGCCTAGAACATAAGAGCCCAGAGGCTTGAATTTAATTTGAATGACAAAAAATAAAAACAAAAACAAAAAACTGTCATTTCTCTATTTTCCCTTTGGACTATGTCAGACCTACAATGTCATCACAAAAGTTTTTGTTATTTGTTTGTTCTGCCTATCCCTCAACACGCTGTTCAATCTTAACCCAAATATATAGAATTTTTATGTTCTAATTAAGAAAAAAAAACTAATTTGTCAGATAATGGTCTGTAATGAATCTCCTTGCAATTTCTTTTAAAATGCAATACTATAAACTATATGAATTTTTCCACTACTCCTTATGAATGCTGGCTTACTAAGTCTGTCACCACTATTTATTAGTGACCAGAAGCCAAAGAATCATTCTTGTCTCCCATCTGCCCCATCCATTGAACCACAAAGATCTATCTACTTTACTGTTTCAAGTTTAGTCTTCCTTCCTTCTTCCTGCCCTAACCATAATCCAGTTGATAATTATCTCTTGATAGAACATTGAAAACACCTGATAGCTGTTCCTTGTTCTTTCCCATTCAACCCCAGCTTCACACTCTAGTCAAATGATTTATTTATATGAAAGATCAAATCTTGACACTCTCTTACTTGAAAAACTCTATTAGTTTCCTTATTTTCCTGGCCAAAAAAAAAATTAAAATTCCAGATTATTTTTATTGTCACTATCTCTTGGTTCTTGCTGACTTCCTTTTTCTTAAATGTTATGCCTCAATAATAATAAGCAGATTTTAGTTCTCTAGGTGCTCACTATGCTATTTAACCCTATTGTGCTTTTGTAAGCTTTAACCCTTGCTTGGGTTTTCCTTCCTAGTTTCTTTTTATGTGTTCTACTTAATGTTTCAGGCTCAACTCAGAGGATTTATCCTTTAGAAAATATATGCTAATTTCTAGGATGGGCTAATTCTTTGTTCTTTCAAAGGATCCTGTGTTCACTGGGATTTGACTATTTACTACACTGAATTGATCTGGTTTCTTTTATTTTAAAGATAAAAAAGCACATCTTATCCATCTCCTTTAGGTAAGAGATGGCTAGTTCTGGCTTTCTAGTTTACCAGAACTAACCAGGTTTCATATTTGTTCTCCACATGTTTTGTTTTTTGTTTTTTTTTCAATTCACTTGGCCATCCAAGGCCCTTCAAATAACTCTTCTTTTTGAAATAAAAAAGCCAGAGTTAGCTTCTGACGCTCTCAACCAAAGAAACTTACTTATCTATTTTGGTATTACAATTTTTAAAAATTTCATAGCATAATCATGGCTATTTCCACAGTAGCTACTACTGTTCCTGGGGACAAACTGTGGCCTCTCAAATCTTTGATTATTTGAAGCTGGCATATACACAAAAATATATTATAGATATAAATATGCATGTAAACATGCACATACAAATATCAACTGAAGATGATTTGACTGTGGTTGGTGGGCACACAGTGTAATGTATAGATTTTATATTATAGAAATGTACACTTGAAACGTATATGATCCTATTAACCCATGTAATCCCAAAATATTTATTAAAAATACATATCAAGGGCTACAACATATTTTTCTTGATAAAATATTCCACTAAGGAAAATGTGTATATTAATGTGAAGTCCTGAGAGTAATACTTTGTTTTGTTCCCTGATGTATCTCAGACCCAGACAAATACTTGGAACATAATAGTTCTTTAAAAATGTGGGTTGGAGGAGAGAATGGATGAAGAAATGAGTGAACTAAGAAAATTACTTTTTTAAAAACAGAATTAAAAATATTGACTCTGGGTAGAGAAATTGAATTTGACAATGTTGCTCCAGAAAATGTATTTTCTGGGTAATACATCCTATATAATAAAGAGGGAATATGCTAATTGACCCTCACACCATTGCACAGCCAATAAGGAGGAAATATATGAATTGACTGCCCCACCCTCAAAGATGGCTGCGCTGACAGCTACAAGATGGTGGCACTCAGTCCCCTCAACCCACCAGGGCAACTCCGCTCACCTGCCTCCAGAGCCCCCCAGTCCTCTCAGTCCCCCTGTCACCCAAGGCCAGCCTGAGGCACAGGCAAAACTTGTATTGTGGTTGCCCAGCCTTCCAGAGCTGCCCAGGGCCCCCCAAGGCTCAGGTAACCAGGAATGGCAGAGACATGGGCTGCCAGCAGTGGCAGCAGCAGAGGTGTGATGAGGACATTGTCTTCCCCTAATTGAAGGGTCACCTCCTGCCCTGAGGGCTCACAGACTGTGAGAGGGGGCAGTCTGAGCTGAGGGACCACCCCTCCAGTGCATGAATTTTCATGCACTGGGCCTCTAGTAGCTTTATAATTTCTTAAAAAATGGGCTAACTTAGTTTAAATCTTGACATATTTTGCCAAATCAGTTGCAAAGACTGAAATCCAGGTATTCAACTCAAGCTTTGATTCCCCAGGAAATCACTACTTATAACTAAACTGATAATTGGTAAATAAACAAAATAGATAGAGGTTTTGATATATGATTCTTTTTTATATTCTCAATTATTATTAAACAATTCAATAGTTTTTGCAAATAACTCTTTAGGTAAGTTCTATTTTCCTCATTTTACAATGGCTTTTAAAACATGACAGAATTTTAAAAGTGGCTTTTTTGAGAGAATCAAAAAAATTCAAAATCTAATCCCTGAGTGCTATAAAGGTGATCAGATTCGCTTCCATTAGTTAAGCATTATAAAAATTAAATATATGTATCTATTTGGCTTGAACAATATATATATATATATATATATATATATATATATATATATATGCCAAATGTGGAGTCATATAAGTAGATGTAAGTCACAATATGAGCACATAAAAAGAAATGAAGGCATGAAGGCAATTTTGAGAGGAAATAAGAAGAAAGAGTGCTATAAGTATTGTTCTGGAATTGAACAGATTTTTCTTAGAAATATTGTATTCAAATATATCATTTGCGTTCCTGTGAAACTAAATCTATTCAACTCACCTTCATATAACCAGTCAGCAATTCCATTAAAAATAATCCCTTCTTTTCCAGAAGATGTCAGTCGCAATGAACTGCTCTTTATATCAGGTTGATAGTAGATATTATTTTCAAAGATATAAATCTGGATCAGAAAACATGTAAAACAAACAAATCCAACATATTAGGAAACCTTTTTTTAAAGCTTTCTTATTAATCAACAATAGCTGAAGAGCTAAGTGTTTTGTCTGTCAGTTTTCCATTTGCCTTTATTTAATGCATATTTTTGTATTGCTTTTAATTATTAATAGTTATTTCTTTCTTTATCATTATCAATATCAAACTCTCATCTAGAAATAACATGATCCTCACTATTTAAAGTTTTAAACCCTTATTTTCAACCACAACTTTTTATCTACTTAATAATCTCTTCCTATTACTTTAAAGTTGATCTGGATTTGAGATAATATTTTGCATCCTCAAGAGACTCTAAACTATACCAGATGCCATTTTAGTAAACAGTCAACTGACTGTTTGAAAGGCTTCTAGTTTGTGTCTTTATTTTTACTTTTTGTGGTCAGTGAAATAATATTTACAGATTCTGTCTGATTCTATCTAGCTCCATATACAGATCTGCTGATCAAACGAAAGGATGATAGAATTCCTTGTAATTGTTAAGTCAACACACTTCACTATACCCCACTCTCTTCTGGCAACTCTTTCCCAAATAGCATACCAGTAATAATAACCTTGTGCCTGAGAGTTTACGAAAGAATTTTTATTTAAACACATCAGAGAGTCTTCTAAAATAATAACAACAGCAACAGCCCCAATAATACCAACTACAAATAATATCAACAAAATAATAGTAACACCAGGGTAAAATTATTTATAACCTCTTTAAAATATCTTCAGTAATAAGCATTTCAAACTGCTGGCTGATGTGATAATATAACCTTCATAGAACCATGTTTCATCCACATATTGAAGGGAATAGAATACTGTCCACTGTGAGCCAAATTGCTGTTTTGCTTGAACATTCTACTAAGAATGTGAAAACTGGCCTAGTGCACATGTGTTCCAGCAGGCTGTAGGATCATCACACAAGAGCAAATACAGCAAACATAATAGCTTCTGAAATAATTATCTGATTAATTATGAGGACCTAGATTTATAATCTTGGTGTGCACAGTGATGAAAGAAATGTTAATATCCAGAATATTTTGTTCATATTCTATTTTGATTTTGATTATTAGGCAAGCATTCAACAATTAGAGTATCTAATTAACCATTCCACCACTACCTGACACTTATAGATGAGAATGTTAATAGAATAAAAAGAATTTGGCAAGAGAGAAGAAAGAAATATACAACAGGGTATTCAAAACTATGGGCTTTATAATAGGGTAGCCTAAATTTAAAATCCCAGTGACATGGATACTTTTCTGTAGCTTTCTAAATCTTTATCTTCTCCTTTAATGAATGTTTATGCCTCATTTTAGATATCTGTTGTAAGAATAAATGAGATGATGCATATAGAACATAATGCACATGTGGCTATTACTGGAAGCAAGGCTGACCACACTCAGAATAATTTGGTTTAGAATCCTGAGCCCTTTGAAGGTTACAAACTCAAAACAAAATCTCTACAGCTTCAGCGAGGTATAAATTATCCCTAACTATTGACAGTCCTACATGTGATGCTGATGTGAAAATTTATTAGGAGTAGTAGTTGAACAGTACTAGCAGGCAAAGAAGGAAGAGGAGAGGTATTAACAAATAATATTTACTGTTTTGCTTCATTTAGGAAGTTTTCAAGTATAATAGAACATAGAAATTAATTTATTATTGAAAGCATATGTGTACACTTTGGCAAAAGTTTAAGACCTAAATCTCAGATGTTGTAAAACTGAATGGAAGTTAATTTTAATGACATTCACAGTCCCTCTTGACAGAAAAAAAAACAAAAAACTGTTAACTTTATTCCAGCCATCTAAAACTTAAGTTTTACATCTTTTGTAAAACTTACAAACAGTATATGAAATAGTCACACAAAATCATCCTGACTTAGATGGAATCTCCTCTTTGGATCTGAACTTCTAATTAGGGCTTTTGAGTAATGATAATTCAGATCATCCACACCCAGGCTATTTAAGCAAAGTGGCTATTATTATTAGAAGTAGGAGTGACTTAACTCAAAGTAATTTTTTTTCTAAATTCTCTGCTTTCTGAAGGTAAAAACAACTATTCTAAGTCAAATAATTAATAAAACCTCCATTATTTCATCAGATGTGTAAATTATCCAAAACTAATGACCAGGAATTACATTTACAGTTGAAGAACAGATTGGATGATATTCAGAATCCATAAAAAAAACTGACATCTGCTTCAATGTGAAAGAACAAGCAATATGAAATCAGAATTTTAATGTCACTCACTCAAAGCTGCAATACCAGATATTGTCCAAAAGATCATATTTTTTCTGTGGACAAAATTACTCGATACCTTCATGAAAATGTACATTTATAATTTCCCAACCCCTTTCAATTATCAAGGTGTTTCCAAGAATTGCACAGTTTCAAATAACAATCACAAACTCTAAGCACTACCTTCGCAATATGAGAGCTGCAGCTATTTTCAAGTCCTAGGTGAACAGGCTGATGAATTAAACTGGTACCAAATGGCAATCATCAGGGGCTGTAGCTAATGTTCAATCACATTGAAAATATGACAAACACTAATGTCATTTATCCTAATGCTGCTGATTAAACTGTCATAATATTTTGATGTCATTAATCAATTCTTTCAGTGAGCCACCTGAACAGTATAACAAATAGAAGTGGGCAGTTGTGTGACCATGTAACCCTTCAATCTATAAAGCAACCCAACTGCCCAGTTTTTCAACATTAATTATTTTAATACACTTACAAAATAATTACAAATGGTAAAGTTACCACTAGGGGAACAGGAAGACAGAAGAAATACTATGTGCTGAAGCATGACAAGTTGAGAAATAGGTAATAGTGTTTCAAGAAATCATTTTAACAAATGTTAGTCAATATTGCTAATTATCAATGATCAGGCACATATATAGTTATTGCTGGGTAGAATTCTTTTCAGAGGGAATTTTCAATTTTCTGCCCCCTGCCCCAACCACCAACAATGCTTCAATTGTGGAAAATAGGCATGAAGCCAATTCTTTCCCCACCCCTAGCCAATTGGTAATGAGCATAGAGCAAGAAATGAACCCTGGTGTTAAAGATCATTAAGATTTTGAGATTGAGTGACCACAATGAACACTAGCCTCAACAGGAGATAATACCTGGTACAAACTCTTCCAACTTTTAGCTAGCTTAAAAGAACACAAAAAAAAAACAGAAAAATAAAACAAATATATAACTGAATATTGGATCTATTTTAACTGAAATATTACTGAAAAGCTAATCTATCCTTACTGATTTAAGGATAATTTTACTTTAGAAAGCTGAATTATTTTTAAAAAATCCCCAAGCATTGTAATGATGTAAGAGAATCTGTAAAGTTACAGTGGAGTTCAGATAGTCTTTGTGTTGCCTTCTACTGTGACTTCTACTGGGGGAAAAATTATAATGACTTTACCAGATAACACATTCTGGCAGGGATAAGGTAAAGGAGTGCTTTCCTATGTTGACAGTGATAAGGGCTAGCTTGCTAGCTTAATTAGGCAGACAGGAAAACTGGGGGAGGCAGTGCAGGGGTGTCCAGGAGAATGAAGGCATTTCTGGCCTGAGCAATTAAAATAGCAGCCACTGTGAACAGTATGGTATTTCCTCAAAAAACTAAAAATGGAACTCCCATTTGACCCAGGGATCCCACCCCTATGATCATAGCAGCACAATTCACCATAGCTAAGATTTGGAAACAGCCTAAGTGCCCATCAGCATATGAGTGGATTAGAAATCTGTGGTACATCTACACAATGGAATATTACGCTGCTATTGCTATAAAAAGAAAGAATTTGTACCATTTGCAACAGCATGGATAGAACTGGAAAGCATTATGCTAAACAAATTAAGCCAGTCAGAAAAAGGTAAATATCACATTATCTCACTCATTTGTGGAATATAATGAACAACATATACTGATAAACAAAAACAGATCCAGAGACAGAGAAGTGTTGATCAGACTCTCAAACCTCAGAGGGAAAGTAGGAAAGGGTGGGGGTAAGTGGGAGAGATGAACCAAAGGACTTGTGTGCATGCATATAAGCCTAACCAATGGACACAGACACCAGGCGGGTAAAGGTATTAGTGAGGTGATTGGGGGCAATGGGGGGATAAGGACACATATGTAATACCTTAACTGATAAAGAGAATAAAAGATTTAAAAAAAATAAAATAGCCCTGACCTGAGCAGCTGGGAGAGCCAGGACAATTGAGGGAGGGTCCATGGGAGAGGACTGCATAGATGGGGGCTTGGAGATGCCAAAACGCTTATCTCACTTGTACAGAGGATAGAGAAATGCCACAGAAGGGGGGCGGTGGGGAGGAATACATACACTCTCAGGGAATAAAGAAAAGTCACAGAATATCGGAAGAAGGAAACATACATATTTTTACAGGGAACTGAAGAATGTTGCAAGATAAGGTGAGGGAATGAGGGTCATCACGTGAGCTTTGAGCTTTGAAACGAATACTATGTGGCAGAGTAACCAATGAGAAAAGCACGGGTCCTAAATTAATGAAGGGTCTAATGAGAAAGGGTCAGGTTCAGACAAAGGGCTACAGCCTTTAGAAACCCGGAGACAGAGAGACTCAGGAGACTTGGATTTTATAGATTTTTCCCCCCATTACAGAGAGAGAGGGAGCAAGAGAGAGCGAACAGGCCTTTCCCCTTTGGGGGCTCCTCCCAAGGGGTTCTCTTTGGGGACACCCCTTCCCAGATGGAGTTTGTATATGCTCCCAATAAACACCTACTAATATATATTTTATTGATTTTGTTCAGAGAGAAAGGGAGAGAGATAGAGAGTTAGAAACATCGATGAGAGTCATCAATCAGCTGCCTCTTGCACACCCCCTACTGGGGATATGCCCGCAACCAAGGTACATGCCCTTGACTGGAATCGAACCCGGGACCCTTCAGTCCCCAAGCCGACGCTCTATCCAT